AAAAAAATAACGTCAACTCGTTATATCAGCTCTCGAAGTGCTCAAAAGAGAAAAATGGTTATCCAACTAGGAAGAAAAAAGAGAGAGACAAAGAAAAAACGAAAATACAAAAGCTCTCGTCACGATGTATGATAGAGTGCGTAAGTAAAAAAGTTCAAAACTCGCTGATACCGTTAAAATGAACGTACGATGTGGGTATATATATTTCCTTCACGTGTCGAACAATGTTTTTCGTTCAAACCTTTTGCAGCCATGCGAAATGGCCATCGCGAATTAAGGTTTTTACAAATTAACAGAGAGATATTCAACGACAGCGAAATTCGTAGATGTATATGCTCGTATTGAGATACGAATTTTCAATTACTGTCATAGCTACTTTTGTAACTAGATCTGTTAGAATATATATTCCCTCAAAAGGAATACCGAATGAACTTTAAAATTAAAAAAAAAAATGAAGAATATCTAATTTTAGTGTAATTAAAAAAAAATATAATATATAGCCAAATTAAACGCTTGGAAGATGTTAAGAAATTTTTAAAAAATTACAAATTTACAAATTTTGAAGATGAAAAAAAAGATATCATATCCCAATATCCAATCTATATTCAACAAAATATTCAACGTGATGCATATTACCTATTCTAATGAATAAATAATCTCTGGATATCTATCATTTTTTATTGACAACAATATCAAATATTCACTATTAAAGATAAATAAACTTTTAAATAAACGAAACAACTAAACACATAAATCCTCGTGAATCATTGCCAATCTATACTATATCTGTATAAAATTAACTTGTGAATACGAATCATCTTTCAACACACAAGCGCACACATGAGTACAAAACGCTCTGAATTACGGAGAACAGATGCATATGCGTCTGGCCGATAAACGTAAAAGCGACGATACCATTCCATATTCGCCATTGTTCGTTCGACGAGCAAAATAACGGGAACAACGAAAACAACAACAGAGGAGAGATGGTTGGTTTTCAGCCGCGTATGAGCAGCGCCATGATGGCGGCGGCCTGCGCGGAACCAAAATGGGAACCGGAAACGCGTGCAAACATCGGGATCGCGCGGAAATGTTCGAACGATGATAAAAGCCGCCTGTTTTACGGCGATTACAGCGGTCAAGGATGCTGTTAACAAGCGTCGCACGGCACGCTTGTGCGATGAAACCACATATTTGGATCGTTCCTGGCCAACCGGAAGGTTAATCCCGCGTCACATCCACCGTTGTTTGTTGTTTCGACGATTGATGCGGACCACAACCCTCCACCCCAACCCTCTTCGAAATATTCTCATCGAAAACAAAGGATTGATTCGCTTATTTTGGCGAAATCCCCTTTTCACGATTGATTTATGATAAGTTTTATGGAAAAGGAATTTGAAATTTGCTTGTAGATTTTATTTTATTTTATTTTATTTTTATAGAGTTGTATTGTCTGTAATTTCTTGTTGAATGTAATGTAATCCAAGAATGTTTCTTCTTTGACGATTTGCGTGTATATATAATGGGAATTGCATTATTCGTAATTTTGATTGTAAACTTTTGTGATACTTCTGTTTGACTGATGTGATTATTCACATGATGAAAGGTTAATTGTATATAATGAATTCATTATTAAATGGATATTTGTGTGTTATCGATTAAAAGTCTTAAATGATGATGGCTGATTAATCGAGCTGTTAATTATAAATTGTAATGTACGTATTTACATATGTTTAACGTGTAAATTGCAAGTAATATAATGCTTGATTAAATTTATTCAAATTGTACATAACGCTGTGCCTCGTGTGCGATAATGATCTAATAACAATTGTAATCTAATCTAATATTAACGATATTATTTCCATAAATTTTTTTTTAATAATTTCTCATAATCAATAATTATAAACACGAGAGAAAGCGAGAAAGCTGACTGATTTCATACAATAAATACCGTAATAGATATTACAAATACTTTCCATTAAATTATCGTGCAAAGGCGCGCAAAAAGGAAACGAAAAAAAAAAAAAATGGATTGACACTCACGTCAACGTAAATCCCGGTAACATTGAAGATCTTGGTCGACGGCTCCTCGCTCGGTGTGTAACGGTAGAACTCGTACCTGCCGCGGTACCACTTGAGGGAGTAAAGGGGCGCCTCCTCGAGATTGTAATGGCAGCGGAGAATCACCTTCTGACCACGTTCCGCTATCTCCGGAACTACTTCTAGGCTGACATTCCGCAGGCAGCTCGCACCTTTGTGGGAAATGAGAACAGGAACGGAGCATTAAGTCTAGTGTGCATCATTAGTCCGCTTTTACTCCTCGCGCCGGAGGTTGCACAGCACGCGTCAGCGAGAAATTGCAATTCCACCGAATGACAATTCCTCTCGCTCCCCTCCACCCTAACCTATTCCGCCTCCCACTCAACCAACACATACACACACACATACACACAAACCACATGCATATGTAAACGTTTCACACCATTTCAAACATACACACCGTACAATTTTTCTTCTCTCACGCTTTCCAACCACCCCCTCTCTCTCCTCATCCATCTCTCCCTCCTTCGCACACCCTCGATCAACATACCACTTTCTTTCACGTTCTCATCCCCCCATCCCTCCCTTCTTCCTAGAGAACATACACACCCACCTCCCCTCCCCCTATTTCCTGTATTTTCCGCTGACGTTCCCCCGTTTACCCCGGATT